CTCGGACGCCGTCCCCTTCCTCCTGCCCCGCCCGCCCCCCCGTCTGCCCGCGGCGCCCGGACCGGACCGGCCTGCACTCAACAGGCTCACTCTTCCGCTCGGACCCGCGCGGCGCGCTGTGGGCGGAGGGGCGTTCGCGGGCTGACCTCTGGGTGGGCTCCTTCTTTTAGGAAACGTTTACCGGGAACCAGGCGGAGGGGCAGCTGGAAGCCCCGCGCCCCCCGGGCTGCAGTCGGGCGGGGCCTCTGGAGGGGGATCGGGTCTTTTAAACGTTTTTATTGATTTCAAAGAGGAGGGAGAGGGAGAGAGAACATCAGTGATGAGAGCCGATCGTGGATTCTCTGGGATGGAGCCTCTGGGACCGAGCCGCCGCCGCCGGGCACGTGCTGACCGGACTCAGACCGGAACCAGACGGGAGCCAGGCCGGAACCTGGCCGGAGCCAGACGGACTCCCGGTGCCGAGGCGGAGCGCCCCTGGCCACGCCCGCGGGGCGGGGCTGGGTCTGCAGAGGATCCTGGGATGGAGATTGGGGCGGTTGTAGGGAAAACCCCGCTGAGTCCGGGTCTGCTCCGTGAGGACAGGTGAGAACCGAACCGGGAGGAAGGCTGTCCTCCCCGCTCAGCCCTGCCGGCACCTGGGCCTCCTGGAGCCCGAGAAGTAAATGCCTTTTCTCCAGTCACCAGCCTGCTGAGTCCTGTCACACGCCTGCACCCAGTGTGTCCGTTATGGGAATGTCTACTCTAAGGGAACATACACCCTGGGCCAGCTCCTTTCCATGTCCTGTGAGTGTGAGTCTGTTGAGTAAATGGTGTCTCACTTGGGATTACGTTGGCATCACATCCGGGTCAGTCACCAGAGGTTCGGGTCTCCCACAGCTACCTTTCTGCAGACGTAACAGAGGCCTAACTTCTCTGTAAGATGAGACTGTGCACGTGGACCGGTCCTCTCACCGTTAATAAGATTCAGTGGGATGATATCTGCAAAGCCCAAAGACTCAGTAAATGCTGGCACTGATTCAAACACGGTGCAGTGGTTAGGAGCTCGCAATGCCTGGCACTTTCTGGCGATGTGATGCTGGTCGTGGTTACTTCTCATGTTCCCAGCGCCTTGTCTGTAACACAGAGCTGCTATCCGTGGCACAGGGGATGTGGTGGTGATTCAGCCTCAGCGAGGAGGGTCTGTCCAGTAAGGGTTAGCGTTCAGGCTTGGGACCTGAGGCTGTTTGCCACCGAGGCCATCAGGAGCCACTAGATATTAGGCAATAAAAGGCTATTTTAATTTTAGGTGGAAGTGGCTGAAACAGTGTGTGAGTTGTTAAGATCTAAACTGAGGTGAATGAGAAAGCAGCAATCAAGTACAGATTTCCTATACTCAATAGCAAAGGAAAAGAAGGGGTCAGCACTAAAAAAATGTCCTCCTATATAATAAAAGACTAATATGCAAATTGCCTGAAGGGTGGAACCACTGGTCCCTACCATGTGCACTGACCACTAGGGGGCAGGCGCTCAATGCAGGAGCTGCCCCCTGGTGGTGAGTGTGTTCTCATGGGCAGTGGTCTGCAAACCCCGGCTCTCGAGACACATGTGGCTCTTTGGCCCCTTGAGTGTTCTAACACCACTTCTTCAAAAAGACTCACCCAGGCCAAAAACCGACTTCTGCCCATGGGCCCGGAAGTTTCCATCGCACTGTCCATGCACGCCTGCACATGGTATTTTGGAATGTAGCTTTTGTCAATGTGAACTTTATTTTGTGGTCTATCTTTACCTGTAAAGCCAGTTTTCTCAGGTTACATTTTTCCATCTTAATGTTGTGATGAAGACTTCATTCTTTTGTCAATTTTCAGTCAGCAATTCTATTTTGTGTCAGTTATTTACTATTTTACTTTTTCCTGGGTCAGACTTTAGAGTTCAGTTTTACCTGAAAGAATTATGTCAGTATCTGAAATTCCAAGTTTAGCATTCGGTATCCTTCCAACTACTCTATGTACAAAAAGCCAGGAATGTCCTCAAAGTAAAACCTTAGGAACAACGGCATTCCATCAGGTTTAGATTTATGGGACCTGATCATTCTCTGTCCATCCATCCATCCACCTGTCAATTTGTCCATCAGCCCCTTCACTTTGCCCACCAGCCATTCATCAGTCCTTCCGTCCATCTGCCCACCTATCTACTCAATAATCTACCCAGCTAACTAGCCATCTATCCACTCATTCATCCTTCTAACCAAACGTCCATCCACCGATCCTTCCATCCACCAGTCCGTCACCTTTCCATTCATTGATCTACCCCAGTGGTTCTAACCAGGGGCAGTTTTGCCCTCAGGGAATAATTGGAAGTGTCTGGAGATGTTTTTTCTGCTGTCATAGTGGTTGATGCTCCTGTCCCCTGGTGGATAAAAGCTAAACAGTCTACAGCACAGGACAGCCCTCAGCAAAGAATTGTCCATCCAACTTTCAATGTCTTCAGTGCCCAAGTTAGGAACCCCTCATCTATTCCCGCCCGCCCACCATCCATCACCACGCCCATTCATTTAAATGTTTGTTGAGCACCTGTTGCTGGTCTCCCAGTTCTGACTGCAGCGTGTAAAACATAACAATGCACAGGTGTTACCCTTGAGTGTTGAGTTTTTTATAATCAGAAACCATGGAGCCCTAGCTAGTGTGGATAGAGCGTTTGCCTGCGAACTGAAGGGTTCCAGGTTCTATTCCAGTCAAGGGCACAAGCCCAGGTTGTGGGCTTGATCCCCAGTAGAGGGATATGCAGGAGGGAGTTAATCAGTGATTCTCGTCCCCTCTCTCTCTCTCTCTCTCTCTCTGTCCCCCTCTCTCTCCTTCCCTCCCTCCCTCCCTCCCTCCCTCCTCTCTCCTCTTTCTCTCCCCCCACCCTCTCCCTTTCTCTCTGAAATTAAAGTGTATATATATATATATATATATATATATATATATATATATTAAAAAAAAAAAAACATGGAAGTTTGTGAATGAAAAGTTATTCAATTGAGAGCTTGGTTGCTTATTGCCAGAATAGTATGTGATATATAATCATTGCTAATTAAGATCAATTTATCACCATATCAATCAGGTAAACAGAAACATACCAAAGATGAAAAACAAACATCCAGGTTTTTTTCTACCACAACTCACTCTACTCACTAGGATCACCCGGGGCTTTTAGGATCTACTGTTACCAGATGGAGGCTCTATTCCAATTAGTCTAGGACGTGGCCTGGGCGTAGTGTCTAGAAGGCCCAGGTGATTCTGACATTCAGCCAGGATGGGGCAGCTGTGTCAGAACTCAAAAAGGCACCACCACCCCTTTTCTTTACTGGATTTTCTTGTTTGTACGTAACACGTGATTTTCCCCCCAATTTGTTCAGACCCTAATCCTATAAGGGTCGGGGTGATAATCTGTGTCCCCTTGGCCCCTGAGTTCTTGGCTGGCCTTACGGGGGGGGGGGGGGGGGCAGGGAGAAGGGACCTGGAATCACAGGCCCGGGATCCCAGGATTGCCGGCCACCATGGGGGGAGGGCTGCAGTCCGTCTGCTCCTGGGGCTTTTCCACAGTTGCACTAACCGGGAGCCACAAGCTGCCACAGGAGCCACGGTGCATCTTTGTGAATATTACACAGATGGTAACATAATTTAGATGAAAGGAAGTAAAGAATAGAAAGACTGGAACTTTTTAATGCTTGACTCGCTGTCAAAACTCACAAATTCTTTCTTTTCTGTGGCTCCAGCCCAGAGAGAGTAAATACCTCACAGGATTTCTGCCATTCTGAGGGACCGGGATGTCACGGAATCTGTAGGAGGCCTTGGGGAGCCAGGGTTTTCACAGACGTTACCTCCAGCACTTCCTAGTGGGAGGCCCTACAGCTCCCGTTTCCTGGGGCTGTGGGCATGCTGTTGCTGGGGAAAGGGCAGGACGGCAGTTTTTCTTACTCTACTGCAGTGTTTCCCAAACTTCTCTCATGATGAGAATCACCTGGTGGAGTTGTTAAAATACAGATTCCTGAATCCCAACTAAGAAGTGCTAAACTAGAATTTTGGGGAACATATAGGTAAAATTGTATACTTAGTGCTCTTAGAGCGCTAGTTAAGTATACAGTTTTACCTATATGTTCCCAAAAATTCTAGTTTAAAAATCACTCCAACAGATGATTCTCATCATGAGAGAAGTTTGGGAAACACTGCTCTATTGGCTGTTTCAGCCTTGGGCTCACATCTTACGCCTCCCGGCCTGGTGGCTCCTGGACCCCAAACCTGTGTGTGGCCACAGGTTCTCCCGGGACCTGGCGCCCTCCTCCCTGGGGGTCCCCTGCTATTTCTCCACAGGCGGGGCCTCTGGCTCCTCCTCCAGGGCGCAGCCTTCCTCTATGGCTCTGCCTTCGATGGCTACACTGAATCCCGGGGTCTCGGATGGGACAGGAGCCATCAGCTCAGCCGTCCGCCCAGTGCAGGTTCCGCGCCTCCCGGCCCGCCTCCCCGTGGACCCTGGCTGCTGCCTTCATAGGAGGACGGCTCTCGTTTAAGGCTCTGGTTATTTTGATGGAACGTTTCCTGCAGCCATGTCTGCCTGTCCCGTCCTCTCCGGCTGCTGAGGAAGGAGGGCCTGCCGCGGAGGGGCCGAGAGCCAGGCCTCCGGCCGCCATGACCCCCTGGCCCTGCAGGAGAGGGGAGGCTGGCTGGCACAAAGGCCTGCACGGAGCCGGCTCTGCTTCTCGCTCTCTGACTGCAGACCCCGCTCTGCCCCACCTGTACGGGAAGGAGCCTCCAGGCAGGAAACAGGCACACAGTCCAGACAAGCGGTTTATCTGTCCCTGCATGAGACGGAACTGAAGCCCGGCGTGTCGTGTGGGAAGGCCCACCCTCTGGGGGACGTCCCTCCCGGCAGGCAGGCCCGCGTGCCCTCTGGGCGGGCCCAGCCTGGGGCAGACTGGCCAGAACTGGGCAGGTGGTTGAGCAGCTCCACTGGAGCAGGCAGGGGGCGCTGCCGCGGGGCCCCTATCTCCTCTGCGCCCTCGGAAGGCCCATCGTGGACTTCAAGTAGCTGTGCTGGACACGGAGAAGGGAAGCGGGGGATTGGTTAGGACTCAGCCGGCACCCACTGCATCCCCGTCCTCCTTCCTGCCCTCGCGCGTCCACACACACACACACACACACACACACACACACAGTGGTGTGTCCTGTACAAGAGGAAGCACTCAAGGCGGCTTCTCTTTACAGACTGCCACATCGCTCCTCCTCCTCTCTGGGGCCAGCGTGACGTTTAGGGGTGACCTGGGCACACCACGCAGCACCAGCACCGTCCGTCAGGGTGGAGATGGCCACTCTGAGCACGGAGGCCCCGGACACAGGGTGACTCGCAGGAGTGGTCAGTGCTCACAGCAGGCCCAAGCCCGACCACGGCCTGTGGACTGGAGCCGGAAGGCACCCCTGCCTCTGGGTGACTGGCCCCAGCTGGACGCTCCTCCCTGCCTCTGGTGGGCAGTTGGGTGCTGGGAGTGCTAGTCCCGAGGCCCACCGCCTGGAGCCGCGAGCCAGGTACCTTCTGTTCCCTCTTGACCTTGGCATTGTAGAAGGAGATGGACTCGGGGCCCTCGGGCAGCACGTCCTGCTGCAGCTGGCTGAACTTGTCCTGGTCGTCTTCTCCCTGGGGGCCCAGCACACGGTCATCCTGCAGCCTGGCCTGCCAGGACGCCCCTGCCTGGCCTGTGGTGGGCAGGAGGCAGCCCCAGGCTGGGCTTACAGTTCCCCAGGCAGCTCACACGCTCGGGCCTGTCTGCCAGCCTCATCACAGACGCCCTGTACCTGCTCCTGGACAGGGCGGCCACCCAAAAGGGGATCATCTGTGCGCCCACCCTCGGTAACCGGGCAGAGACCTGTGGCTTCCCACCTGCCTGGGCAGCTGTGGGAGCGGCTGGGAGCAGCCCACACATGGCATGTTTGTGGGCAGAAGAGGCTTGGGCCCCTGGCCCCCTCCCAGCGCCCACCCCGATTTGGGGCACTCACCAGAGACACAATCCTGCTGACGGGCACCATGCCTGGCCGGACGCTGCTGCCCAGCGTCAGGGCTGCCTGCATGTCCTCCGGGATGAAGAAGGACTCATTGTACCAGATTTCAAATTCTGCAGGAGGAGGGGCCGACACTGAGGCTGCAGGCAAAGGCTCTGCTCCTCAGAGGTTCGCCCTGCCACTCCCTGCTCCACGTCCCCCTCCATCTGCCTCCTGCCCCCCCCCCAATCCTGTCAACAAACCCTGCAGGCCCTGCCGGGTCCTGCCTCTGCCAGAGAGAAGCTCTTCCTTTTAAGAACCATGGTTTCTTTTTAATTTTTTAAATATATTTTTTAAATATATTTATTTTTATCCTCTTGCACGCTCCCTACTGGAGATCCAGCCCACAGCCCTGCCCTGTGCTCTGACTGGGAACCCAACCGTGACCTCCTAGTTCATGGGTCACTGCTCAACCACGGAACCACCCTGGGCCAGAGAGAAGCTGTGAGGCTGCTTCCAGAACCAGGGGCGACCCTGCCCTGCCCTGCCCTGCAGGCCCGCACCCCGATGGCCGCCCCTCCCTGGTGGCACCTGTGAGCAGGCGGTGGCGACACTGGTCCACCAGGTGCTGGCAGTACTGGATCTCAGCCCTCAGGTCGCGCAGGTCCTGGTACTCGGCCCGGTACTGCTTCTTGAGGTCTTTGAGCTTCAGGATCAGCAGGAACTCCTCCTCGTCGATGATGATCAGCCCCTTCTTCTCATACTCGCCTGCGGAGGAGGGAGGTGGGAGGAGGCCGGGTAAGGTGCCACCTGCGGCGAGGAGGGAGGAGTGTCCGGAGAGAGGGGAGCACTTCAAAGCACCGGACAGGAGCCCAGGGGGCGGGCACCGCGCAGACACGTCCCCGGGAAGAGGGCGCTCAGAGCAGGGCCACTCGGCATTTCCAGGACCAGGAGGACCCGTGTGCCGCACATGATCCTAAACCCCATCCATGGAAATGCTCAATAGCATCTCAATACAGGGATGTTCGTCTTTTTTGTCTTTTTGTTTTCATTTTTATTATTTTTTAAAATATATTTTATTGATTTTCTACAGAGAGGAAGAGAGGGGGATAGAGAGAAACATCAATGAGAGCGAGGAAGAGAGGGGGATAGAGAGAAAGATCGATGAGAGAGACATCGATCAGCTGCCTCCTGCACACCCCCTGCTGGGAGTGTGCCGGCAACCAAGGTACATGCTCCTGAAGGCAACTGAACCTGGGACCTTTCAGTCCGCAGGCCAAGACTCTATCCCCTGAGCCACACCGGTTTCGGCTGGTTTTTTCTTTTTAAAAACACAAACCATGACATTTATTGGAAGACTAATCCCTGAGTCCTTAGGGTCAGCGGACGGGAGCAGCTGCCTGGGTGTGAGTGCTGCTTGGAGTCTGGCAGACCACGCTTAGGGGCCTCAGGCGACGGTCCGCAACGCCCCGGCCTCGCCGCACCGCCTCCTGCAGGCGGGCGGGCGGGCGTGTGAGCCCACGTTTCACTGCCGCCTGTGCGGCCACCCGCACCCCATCGATTGGTGTCAGAGGCTCCGGGAAAAGAGTGAGCTCTTAGCATCGGCGCCACGCGGCCTCTGGACGGACTGAAGCCCCGTCAGCTCCTTGAGGATCGTTGGGTTGAGACCAAATAACACGTGTGAGCCACTCACCGCAGCACACTCACGCGTGTGGCCGGGAGCCGGTGTGGGCGCCCGGTCGGGGGGGGGAGCACCTCCCCACGGGGGCCCCGACGGCCCCACTCCGCCCGCCTCTCCGCCCGCCTCGGGAGCCGAGTGCTGGCCAAGCCGGGGCAGGGCGTGCAGTGAGGGGCGGGGAGGGGGGCGGGGAGGGAGGGGAGGGAGGGGAGGGAGGGGCGTGGCAGGCGGTGGGGGAGGGCGGGGCGGGCGGTGAGGGACGGGGAGGGGGGACTGTGAGGAATGGTCTCAGTGACCGGGAACCCCCTGGCCCTCCATCACTGCTCCTGGCCTCCTCTTTGCCAGCACCCACCGCCATCAGACCGCCGTGGGCCGGGAGGAGACCGCACCAGGACCAGGTGCCTCCTCCGTGGGCAGCGGGTGCGTGGGCAGCGATGGAGGCCCGGCTGGTGTGAGACAGCATTGAGGGGCCTCGGGCGGAGGCTGCCCCGTGGTGACCCAGAGCTGCAGGCCGCACCCCACGGCCCCAGGGGCTCCGAGCCTCCCAGTTCCTCGCCTTCCCCTCCGTCACCTTGCTTCTCCCGCAGGGCCTTCTGGGCGTCCAGCGCCTCCCTGGTCTCGTCCATCTCCCTCTTGATGGCGTTGATGCGCTGGGTGGTCTCGCTGGCCCGCTTCCTGCGCTCGTTGAGGATGGACTTGTTTTCCTTGAAGATGCGGTTGATCTCGCTGCCTCGCTCGTTCTTAAAGTCCTCGAAGGCCACAGCCTTGGAGGGGGGGGTGATGGGCCTGCGGGGAGCAGGGGGGACAGCTGTCTGGGAGGCAGCGGGCACTCCCTCTGTCGCCCCTGGGCCCTGGTGCAGGAAGGCCAGGAATCTGGGCACCGCCCAGACGGAGCGGACGGTGGGAGGGCACGTGCCCACTGATCAAGCCGAGGACAGAAGGGGGTGCGTGCGGGTCTCCGTCAGGGACCTCTCTGGTCGTTTTAAATGCCCGGCATCATGTACCCCTTTTATTTCCTCAGGAGCATCCGCTCCTGCGATTAAAACCTCTGAGAACTCCAGCTACTGAGAGGCGAGCTCCCGTCTGCGCTCTGTGCCGTGGAGGGGGGGGGGGAGACACGGCACAGAAGCAGCAGGCCTCGTCACAGGCGAGCCGTGAGTCCGTCACTCCTCCCGCCGGCTCCTCTGCAGACGGACGTGGTCACAGCTGGGCGCACACCCTTCCCTCCGAGCCCTCTCCCTCCCTCAGGTGTTTTATTCTCACGGCGCTGCTTGCTGCTCACGTTGATGCCATGAGCGTCTTCTGCATAAATCCCCTCCATACCCTGTCCACGTCCTCAGGACGGACTCCTGGACACTCACCCAGGAGAGGGGAGGGACAGGGTGGCCCCGCCGGACGCTCTGCCCGTGCTGCCGCACGGTCTGGACTGTGCACAGGGTCTGCCCGCCCCCATCCTATCTCAGGGACCCGTGCTGGGGATCACGCTGTCCGCCGGTCACCTGGGCGGGCGGAGCTCCTCCTTGGGGGAGTCCGAGGGCAGGGTGTCGATGTTGGAGGTCTCCCGGTCCCGCAGAACCATGTCCTTGACGTCCGCGTCCTTGGAGAGCGGGGTCAGCTGCGTCTTGGAGGTCGAGACCTCCACATCCTTGCCGCTCAATGGGCTGCTGCCCCCCTCCTTCCTGGCCGTGGCGGCGCTGGCGCTGGAGGGAGAGGGCGGAGACCCAGGCTCAGGCCGGGTTCCCAGCCTGCTCCCAGGGAAGCTCCCAGGGAAGCCCCCGTCCCCAGCTTCCGTCTGACCCCGCGGCAAAGGACAGAGCACGACCCAGAGCCCTGCAGGTGGGGGATGGAGGAGAGCGCCTTCCTCCCTGTGTGAGCCTGAGGGGCCGCCAGGGCCGGAGCCGGAGCCGGAGCCGGAGCCGGAGCGGCAGGAGCTGGGGCCACACTCTCAGGGCCGTCCTGTGCCCGGCTGAGCAGGAAGTGGAATCCGCTGGGGAAGGCGGGCTGTCTGGGCACCAACCCGGGACCTGCTCTCCTGCCCACACCGGTGCCCACCCAGCCGGCAGGCTGGCTGCCACCCCGTGTGTTGGTGCCGGTCTGCCCGCCCGGATTGTGCCCAGCATCGTGCTTTGGGGGAGGAAGCTTGGTCCACCTGTGAGTGCACCAATTATGGCAGCAGACGGGGGGGGGGGGGCTGCGCCTGGTCCCCGACTCTGCGGTCAGTGCTGGGCACATCCTTTCCGAGCGCTAATACCAGTAACAAGGGGCGGCATCGCGCGCTTCTGCTCACGGCAACGCCAACGACACTGCTATAGTTATTACTATTCCACTTTGTTTTAAAAACAATTTTATTTATTGATTTGAGAGGGAGAGAGAGAAAAGAAAAAAACCCCTTTGTTGTTCCACTTATTTACACACTCGTTGGCTGATTCTTGTCTGTGCCTGAGCGGGGACTAAACCTGCCACCTCAGTTATCAGGACAAAGTCTAACCTCTGAGCTCCCGGCTGGGCTGGCGGCTCCCATTTCACAGGCGGGAGACCAAGGCCAGCAAGGCTCCCATCTCCCACACGGCGCAGAGGAGGGGAGAGTAAGGAGAGCCCTGTCTGCCTCCTCACGGCCTGCACCCTCCCCGGCCTCGCACCCACCACGGAGTCTGCCCGAGAGGTGAACTGGGACTTGGGGAGGAGGGGTTTGACACGGAGCAGGAGAGTTCAATGCCAACCCACTTCTCCCTTGGACTCTGCTAGACTCAGCAAAAGGGTGACCTGGGAAGTGACTTCCCCTCCCCGGGCCTCAGTTTCCCCATCAGTGACCTGGAGGCATTAGCTCCCAGCTCCTGGGCTGCTAGCGGCCGCCCGGGGCCAGCACTCACCTGAACTGCTCCTTCCACATCCGCCGGGACTTGGGCTTCTTCCCGGGTTTGGAGGAGTAAGAGGCAACGCCAAGTCCAAAACCCTGTCCGTCCGTCTCCCCCACCAGGTGGCCGTCAGCATCCATAAGCCCTGCCTGGACACGGGCCGCCGGGCAGAGCTCAGGGTGCTGGGCTGAGGCTCAGGGGGCACGTGGAGCCCTCAGCACGTGGCGGTCAGCTCAGGCCGTCCCGGCGAGCTGTCCCCTCCCACATCTAGTCCCGTGGCCTTCCTGCCAGGCCCTGGATCCTCAGCCCGGTCCCTGCCCGCTCCCGGAACCCCTGTCCCCATTCTGGAGACACTGTGAGCCCCACACATGCCCCCGCCGGGACCCCTCTGCCCTCTGCTCCAGCCCCGTGACCCCGTGACCCCTCTGCCCTCTGCTCCTGCCCTGTGGGCGCCTGGGCCTGGAAAGGTCTCGGGATAAACCACCTGCTGGGAAGGCTGCGCAGAAGGCAGCGCTCACCTTCTGGACGGCAGAAATGGCTGCAAAGTCGTTCTTGTCTATGAGGGTGTACTTCCTGCGCAGGGAGGACTCTACTTCCTGCTCCTGTTGGCTGCAGGGAGCCAACCCTCAGCCAGCCGCACCGAACCCCAGTGCGTCCCGAACCCCAGTGCGTCCCGAACCCCAGTGCGTCCCGGTGGCAGGGCTGGGGTGGCCCCGCGGGGTGACCCGGGCCTCAGGGAGCAGCTCCCTCCCCATGTGCAGGGCGCCCAGCCCCGGGCGCCGCCTGTGGGTCCCCCTCCAAGGGTCCCGCCTCCGACAGGCCCTCGGTTTCCGGCTGTTGTTAATCCCACCCACGGACATTTCCCACTGGTTTTCAGAGAGTGGGAGAACGAGGGGACTCAGAGAAACATCCACGTGCTCCTGCACAAGCCCCAACCCGGGCCTGGGGCGGGGAGGAGCCTGCAACCGAGGTGGGTGCCCTTGACCGGAATCGAACCCGGGGCCTCAGGATCTGAAGGCCAACGCTCTACCACTGAGCCACACCAGGCAGAGCCCTTTGGAATCATGTGACCAGCTTCTGTGATCCCCGCCCGCCCAGCCTGAGCCATTGGGCCCCTGGGAAGGGACGTGTGCACCCAAACAAACACAAATGCCGCTGAGGGGGCTGGGAGCTGTAGCCACATTCAGAGCTCCTGGCCCATGGATGAGCTCAGAACACAGCCACAGGGACACCGCTCTCTGGGGGCAGCTGCTGGAGGGCTGTCCCCCAGGGCAGTGGTCAGCAAACTGCAGCTCTCGAGCCACATGCAGCTGTGAGCTCCGTTTGATGCTCTGTTGACTAATGAGTTTGCCGACCACTGCCCTAGGGGCTTCCCCCAGGGATGGGCAGGGATGGGGAGGGGAAGGGAGGGCAGGGCAGGGCAGGGCAGGGCAAGAAGGTCTTAGAGCTCTGGGCACAACCTGAGCACTCGGTTCTGGCCCCACACGGGCACAGGGCACAGGGCACAAGGCACAGGCCACACTCGCACGGGGGAGCGGGGGACGGGGGTGCCCGGCGGCGGGGCCCACACCCCCGGTGAGAGTCGGGTGGGCAGGGAGGGCCCTTACGTCAGAACCACCCGGAACTGGTTGAACACCTCCTGGATCTGCCGGAGGTTGATGACCTGAAGAGGAGAGGAGAGAGGGCGGTTAGGCCTTGGCCCCGGCCTAACAGCTGTGTCTGATGTCAGCAAACAAACGGCCCCTCAGCCGTGGCTGCACAGAGGGCACCTGGCCATCGTTCCAAACCGAGCGCTTTCTGAGCGCGAACTCCCTTTCTGAGCGACGTGAAAGGGCGTGAAAACATGGCTCTGGTTCTGAAAATGCCCAGAGCAGCCAGTCTAACAAAGGTGCAATGCAAATTAGGCCGGGACTCCTGACGCCGCGGCCGGACAGCAGGCTGTGCGCCCAGGTGAGGCTCCGGCAGCGGAGCGGACGCAGGCAGGGCCCAGAGGGGACAGAGGCGGGGGTCCCGGCCCCCCGAGGGGCCCCTCCTGTGCGATGGGGCCTCCGTCGGTAAATAAAACATGTTGTCCCGAGCCCTCCACTTCCTCAGGTCCACCCTGAGCCTGAGGGTGCAGACACATCCATGTCTGTGGCTGGAGGAGCCACCGCCTCCCTCCCTCGGACTCTGACCACAAGCAGTGCCCTTGGCCGGGATCGGTCTGGGGCTGCCCTTGCTGGGGAGGCCGGGAGCCCCCTCAGCTGCCTCAGTAATGGGAGTGAGGTGGGGTCTGCGCAGGCAGCTCCCCGTGGAGCTGGCCGCCTGCGCTGCAGAGCCTTCCCATGTGGCTGGCCTCCCTCTCAGTCCACCCTGGGCCTCCGTGCGGACAGCGGCCTGGCCATCGCCCTGACTGGCACCTCCACCTCCATGGCAGCCGTGGAGCCGGGCTCGCCCTTCCCGCTGAGGAGGCCAGGCTCCCGGGACGGAGCTCACACCACCGAGAGCCGCAGGATGGGACAGTGCCCGGCTCAGCCCCGCCTGGCCCAGCGAGGCTGCGTCCTGTGTGCTCCAGCCTGCTCAGGGCTGGCCGCCGCGCAGCACCCACAGCCGGGAACCCGAGCTGGAGGCCGAGGCCTTGGGGCTGGGGGCCTCTGAGGTCAGGGGTTCCCCCCACGCCCCTGCGCCCTCTCGGGGGTCCCAGGGCCGGCGGGGCGGCCGTCAGACAGAGCTGGGCCCAGGAGTGGCTCACGTCGATCTCCTCCAGCGTCCCGTCCAGGTACCGCCGCACCTGCGAGTGGATCTCGGCGACCTGCACCTCGTCCATGGGGTCGTAGCTCACGTGGGCGCGATTGGCCTGGGAGGAGGGGGAGGAGGCACATCGGCCACCACGCCAGCCCCTCTCCCTGCCTCAGCCTGGGGGGCTGGCTCAGGCAGGGGCTCTGGTCAGTGAGGGACAGCGGGCGTGAGGGAGGGGCGCTCTGCTGGAGGATCCTGGGAGGAGGGGTGGGAGGGCGAGGCGGCCTTGGCCTCCAGGCCTCCAGGCCCCTGAGCATCCCCCGGGCAGGCCCTGCACGCCTGCCCAGTGCTGCCACCCTCCACACCCAGCCTGCCCCATCCCTGACCGTGACCATTCCGTCTGCCGGCCCCAGCCCCTCGTCCTCCTGCCGCCTGCCTGCCTCTGCTCCTTGGCCATCCGACCCCCTGCCCGCCAGGCATCCCTGGTCCCCCCTTGGGGTTCCCCGAGTCTCCCTGATGCCGGCCCAGCCCGGCCCGTACCAGGCTGTCGTGGATGGCCAGCTCCTGCTTGAGCAGTGCCAGCTCCGTCTCCAGGTTCTTGACCATCCGCTGCCAGGGAAGAGCGGGGCGGAGAGGGCAGTCAGAGAGGCCCGGCTGCTCCACCTAAGCCCGTCCCGCCCCCCGTCAGACCGAGCGCTCCCAGGTCCACGGCCTGGTCCTGGCTCCGGACAACGCCCACCCCCGGTGCTTTCCCCCCACGGGGGGCGGGAGTGTAAGGCTTGAGGGGCCTCAGCAGCCCCTGCAGAGGAGACTCAGAACAGAGTGGGCACAGGCACCCAAGGGCCCCCCAAAACCCAACTCCCATCGGGCCCGTGTGGCCCAGTGGGCAGAGCGCCGGCCTGCGGACTGAAGGATCCCGGTCTTTATTCTGGTCAAGGGCATGTGCCGGGCACGGGCTCGGTCCGCAGTGGGGAGCGTGCAGGAGGCAGCCAATCCATGCTTCTCTCTCATCAGTGAGGTTTTTCTCTCTGCCTTCCTTTCTGAAATCAATTTAAAAATGTGTTTTTTAAAATGGCCACTGGAGGGAGCCCTTGGCAGCGGGAACCCGGACACACGCTGTGGCCAGTCCGGCTGAGCTGCTGGGGTCTCCGGCCGGGTGACTGTCCAGTGGGCCATCTGCCCGGGGCCGCCAGCCTCCAGCCACTCCCCCCTCCCCGGACGGACCGGAGAGAAGCTGCTGGACACGGGCTGGAGCGGCAGCGGATGGCGCCGGGCGGCACTCCGCAGCGAGGCTCCTCTGGGCGGGACGGATGCCGTGGACCCGGCACAGACACCTCCTGCGCTGCACGCTCCCCCTGGCCGGGCCCTCGCTGGGAGGGGCTCTCACGGACGCTGTCAGCCCGGGCCTCCCTCTGACGCCCGACCTCGCCCTTTCCCCGGGGCCCCACAGGGGTGTCCGGGCCCTGGCGGCGGCCGGTCGGGAGCGGGCAGGGGCCTTTGGCGGAGCCGGGAGGGAGGCCAGGCCTGGGTGCCCCCGCCCGAGGCGCCCGCGGGCCGTACCTCGGCGTCGTACTTCTCGTTGACGGCGGGCTCGGTGGTGACCAGCTTCATGCGGCTCGCGAAGCGCAGCGAGGACAGCTGCAACGGCAGGGACCTCGCTGTCTGGGCCGCGCCGACAGGACGGCGGCCGCGAGGGCCTCGGGGTCCCCAGCCCTTGGCAGGGGCAACCAGGACCACGACGGCGGAGGCCCTGCGGCAGCGGCTCACACCCCCGGCGGCGGGAGGGGCACGGGGCCCGCGGCCTGCGGCCGGCACGGGCCCTGCGGCCGGGAGCCGACGGGAAGGGCCACAGGGACCTCTGGGGGCAGCGGGGCTGCCCACTGTGCGACCTCGGCGGGTCTGACCTCTGCAGAGCCGGTGCCTCCGGTCCCGGAGGCTCAGGGGCGTGCAGGGTGCTCGGCACAGCTGCCCACCGGCCTCGGGCGGGACCCATTCCCGCAGCTGGAGCCGCTGGGGAGGGGGAGGAGAGGGGAGGGCAGGGCAGGCTCCCTCCCTGGGGCCACCACACACGCGCGGGCACACACACACACACACGCACGCACGCACACACACACACACGTGTCCGTGCGGGAGCAGCACGTCCGTGAGGGGGCCGCCTTGCGGCTTTAGCATTGGGGAAGAGTCGCCAGCTGCCCCTCCCCAGTCCACCTCGTCCCACCCCTGAGGCCCCGGCACTCCCCGGGCTCGGGCTCGGCTCGGCTCGGCACAGCCGGGCAGGAGAGCACCGCCGGGCGGACCGTTCAGAGGCCTCCACCATCGAGGAGGCCGTGCTCCAGGCGCCCCTGAGGGGAGCCAGGGGACGGGGCCGGACGCCGGCTCTGGGGAAGCCGCCTGAGCTCGGAGGGAGCCGTCCGACCTCCCAGTCCAGGCCCCTCGCAGGAGGTTCCCGGAAGTGGGCAGCCACCCCTGGTGCAGGAAGCTGGGAGCCCCCAGGAGGGTCCTGCTCTGTGGTGTCCGGGCCGGGACTGCGTGGGTTACCAGATGGGTGAAGTGCCCTAAACACCCACATTCTAAAACCAAACTTAAACAAAAACAAAAAAATACACGAAATGTCTGGCCCGGCCGGTATGGTTCAATGGTTGAGCATCGACCTAGGAACCAGGAGGTCATTGGTTCAATTCCCAGTAGGGGCACAGGCCTGGGTCGGGCTCCATCCCCGGTGTGGGGTGTGCAGGAGGCAGGAGGCACCTGGTCCAGATCCTCTCTCATCCTTGATGTTTCTCTCTCCCTCTCCTTCTTCCCTGAAACCAGTATTTTTTTAGAAAGTGAAAACGCTAAGGGGAGCCTTCCAAACCTGGTGAAGGAGGTGGCCCTTCCGAGGAGGGAGGGGCGGCTGGCACCCATGGGTGGGCACCGCCGTGGCCTCCCCGAATCACCTGTGACCCTCCCCGGTGGGGGGGACCTCCCCGAGTTACAACTGGAGCCACAGCCCTTCCCAACTCAGAGCCCATGACAGCCCGGCCTCCCTCCATCCGCCGCACAGCCCGCCAGCCCCGCCCCCTGGCCCTGCAGCCCCTCCTTCCTCCTTCCTGAGCCTCCCTCCCAGGCAGCCACCTGTGGGCCCTCCAGCCTCTGCCCGGAACATGGAGCTTCCTGCCACCACGGCCTCAGCGCCCGTCTCCCTCTCCGGCTCCAGGAAAAGCCTCCCCCTAGGCTCCCCCGACGCGGGGCCTGGACTGGCTCCTCCTCCCGAGCTGCTCCCGCCCCCTCCTCCCTGCCGCCCCCTCCCCATGGGTGTGTGCGCCCCCTCTGACCATGGGGAACCTCGCCGCCAGCTCAGGAGCAGCCCGGGGCGTGGCTGTGGCCTCGGAGCGGCTCTCAGCCCCCCTCCTGGCCGGCCTGCGGCGCTGCCTCTTCCTCTGCCCGGTCCGGTGTTCGGATCCGGCTGGGCCGCCCGGCCCGCCCCGTGTGGAGGCCCCTCTGATTCCCGCCCGCCCGGCTGCCACGCACCGTCTCGTCCAGCTGGGCCGCCTCCCCGTAGACGTTGGCCACCAGCACCAGGTTGCAGTTCCCCCCTGCGGGCGCAGACACGAGGCCCTGAGCCACGTGGTTTGTGCCCAGGTTCCTGAGGCTCTGGGGTCGGCACGGATGGAACGTGGGTGCCCCACACCCACGTGTGGAAGTCTGACTCCCCAGGGGAGGGGGCCGTGGGAGGCAATCAGGAGGGGCAGCCGGGAGGGGCAGGCGGGTCTGCTCAGAGCTGCACTCGGTGAATAACCAGACACCGAGGACAACGGTGTCCTTGGGCCCCACACAGACCTGGGCCCTGGGATGACACCGCCCTCACCCCCGGGAGACTGGGGGAGGAAGGACGAGGGGAGGCCACGCCTGGGCCGGAGGGAGAGGGAGGAGGGGGGGAGGTGTTCCAGCAGAGGCCAGAGCTCAGGCACGGGGCTGGGGTGGCCAGCGGGGACGTGTTTATGTGACGGGAGAGGGACCAGGCGTGCCTGAGGCCACTGTCAAAAGGCTGCACGAGATTCACGCCCGGGAAGGGGCAAGGCCACCATCGTAGCAGCGGACAGGACAGCCCTGGCCGGTGTGGCTCAGTGGATAGAGCGTCGGTCTGTGGACTGAAGGGTCCCAGGTTCGATTCCTGGTCAGGGCACGCCCAGATTGCAGGCTGCAACCCAGTGGGGGGCGTTGCAGGAGGCAGCCAGTCCGTGATTCTCTCATCATTGGTGTTTCTCTCCCTCTCCCTTCCTCTCTCTCTGAAGTCAATAAAAAAGAAAAGAAATCCCTGCGCCCGCCGCCCTCACCGAGGGAGTCCTTCAGGGCGTGGGTGAGCTTGCACTGCCGGAAGGGGATGTGGTCCCGCCGCTGGTCGCCGAGGGCGATGATGGCCTGCTCCAGGAAGGACAGCGACTTGTTGATGTAGGTGGCCTCCTTCAGCACCCGGCCCTCGGACTGCAGACAGAGCCATTCGCTCAGACTGGGAGCGGGCCCACCCCGAGCATGGACACCCCACCCCGAGCATGGACACCCCACCCCGAGCATGGACACCCCACCCTGAGCATGGACACCCCACCCTGAGCCCGGGCCGCCCCACCCCAGCCTGGGCGCCACAGAGCAGCACAGCGGTCACTCTCACACGCACCTGCGGTGCTGCTGACCGTGAGCACTGTGTGGAGTCCGCGTGGAAGCCACACGGACAGGCGTGCACGTGTGCAATCTGTGCCGTCACCGAGCAAACAGCCGGTGACCATTTACACAAACGGGGACGCACGCCCAGATGCACAAAGAACGCTCCTCCAAACGCACTTCAAATGCTTTTTTTTTTTTTTTTTTTTACTTTTTTTCATGTATCTTCCCACCTGGATATTTTTATGTACCTTTTGAGGTTGCATATGTTAACTTACAATGTTTCAAATTAGAATTTTAACGAGTATAATCATAATACTCCTTCATACTAGTCTATATAAGTAAAAAAGACTTCAATGCACACTACCTTTAAAATTTTTTTTCTAAATATTTTTATTGCTTTCAGAGAGAAAGGGAGAGGGAGAGACAGAAACATCAGAGCCTCCTGCACACCCCCTACTGGCAATCAATCCCTTGACCAGAATTGACCCAGGACTCCAGTCCACGGGCTGATGCTCTACCCACTGGGCCACACCGGCCAGGACAGCACACACTGCCTTGTTAGTTGGCCGTTATTCTAAGTTTTGGGCAGGGAAGAGCTTACTATCCGAGAGAGCCAAAGCCTGAGTCTATCTTATAACATCGTACCCTACTACCCTTAGGCTAAGGAATTTTTTCTAACTTGTCAATCACAGTTGACATTCCATGTTATTTTATATTAGTTTCAGCTGTGTACTCCAGTGAATACTTATGCTAATAATCACATTCATGTAAGCATTTCAGACGAGATACTCATGCAAATACCGCTGTGAACACTCACACTCAGAGAAAAGCTCATCACTTACTGAGTGCCAGGCTCCTCGTTAAGAATTCAGGGGCTACGCCCTGGCCGGTGCGGCTCAGTGGACAGAGCGCCGGCCTGCGGACTGAAGGGTCCCGGGGTTCGATTCCGGTCAAGGGCACATGCCTGGGTTGCAGGCTCAATCCCCAGTATGGGGCTTGCAGGGGGCAGCCGATCCATGATTCTCTCTCATCGTGGCTGTTTCTCTCTCCCTCTCCCTTCCTCTCTGAAATCAATCAATCAATATTTTTTAAAAAGAACGTAGCAGCTATGATCTCATTTCAACGTTAGAAAAGCCCTGCCCGGTGGGAAGGGCCTGTGTCGGGCTGTCCCTGCTCCTCCCGTCCCTCCAGCTCTGCAGGGCCACCTGCTCTGCGGTAGCTGTCGCCAAGCTCCTGGGCCTCTCGCACGGCCTGTGGAGAAGGATCCTCTGCCCCCCGGCCCCCGTCCCCGTCCCCCCGCTTACCCCAGACTTGCCCAGCCTTTCCGAGCCGGCCAGATCCACCAGGTTGATTTTGGAAGTGATGTACTTCTCATCAGATAAGGTCCGTGAATGGGCCTGAGGGACACGGGACAGACGCGGCTGAGCTGAGGCTGAGGCCCGGGGCGGCCAGGACGCCCGGCGGGCGAGGGCCCGCTCACCTCCACGTAGATGGTGAAGATGCAGTGCGACCGGGACGAGTTCTTGTTCATGGTGTGCGAGGCGATGATCCTGTTGGTCTCCCCCTGGGGAGGAGGGAATCGGGGGCGACGTGCTGGAAATGTAATAACCGGGCCCTGGAGTCCCCGCCTCGCCTCGCCCAGGCAGCCGGCCTTCCTTTCCGGCGGGCCCGCTACGGGCCGGCCACAGGGAGACAGGGCAGGCAGCGTCCAGGTCGGCGCTGGGACCCCCGGCGAGGGGCGGGGTTCGCACGGCGGGAGCGAGCGAGGGGGGGACGGGCCTCGGCGCTCACCTCGAAGAGCAGGCTGAAGGCGTCCTCCTCCTGGCTGGTCAGGTGCACCGACAGGCCCTTGATGAAGACGCCCTGCGGGTTCTCAGCGATGGCCACGGGCGCGGCGGCCGGCCCCGCGCAGGGCAGCGTGGACAGCAGGTCGAACAGGCTCTCGTTGTAGATCTCCAGGTAGGACACGCGCACGGTGATGGCGTGCGTGGGGCGCTCCTCGATCATCCTGAACACCTGGGAGGGCGGACGCGAGGGCGGGCGGCTGCGGGGGCTGTGCCGGGGAGGGTGGCCTCCGGGGCCGCAGGCAGGCGCCCGTCAGAGACCTTCTCCTGAAAGCATCGCGGTTCGTTGGGGTGACGTTTACTGTCACCTTGTTTTCTTTTTTAATATATTTTATTGATTTTTTATAGAGAGGAAGGGAGAGGGATAGAGAGTTAGGAACATCAATGAGAAACATCGATCAGCTGCCTCCTGCACACCCCTCACTGGGGATGTGCCTGCAACCAAGGTACATGCCCCTGACCGGGATCGAACCTGGGACTCTTCAGTCCGCAGGCCAACGCTCTATCCACTGAGCCAAACCGGTTCGGCTACCTTGTGTTTTTTCCCCATATATTTTTAGAGAAAGAGGAAGGGAGAGCGACAGAGAGATAAACATCCCCCACCGGCTGCCTCCTGCCCGCTCCCCAGGGAGTGAGCCTGCAGCCCGGGCCAGCGCCCTCACCAGCAATGGAACTGGTGGCCTGTGGTTCCCGGTCCGATGCTCAGCAGCTGAGCCACACGGGCCGGCTCCAGCCCCTGGCGTTTGAGGCTGCCATTCTCCCAGGACAGCGGGTACACGCTCAGGATGCCTTTTGGGGGGGGGAGCCCTATGCCTCCTGTCCACAGGGGTCCTCAAACCCAGGCTTCACCCCCAAAGGAAGGCCCTTCCCGCCTGCCTTCCATCTCCTTCCCACTTTCCAGACCCGGGGGGCGGGGGAGAGACACGGACTCAGACCTCAGAGTGGGCCAGCTCCGCTCCCTGCGATGGCCGAGGCGCTTTGGGGGGTAAGGGAGGAGCCGGGGGGGGACGCTCTGCCAGGCCCCTATCCCCTCATTCAAGCCAGGAGGGACCTGATTTGGGCCTCAGAGCCTCAATCACAGCCACAGACCAGCGCAGCAGCCACAGGCCAGTCCGCACGGCCCACGCCCTCTGTTACAGACGGACGGACGAGGAAACGGGCTCGGCATGGGCGAGGGCAGGGCCCAGAACCCGCACTCCGGGTTTCCTGAGCCTCTGACTCACGGACACCCCCTCCCCCGGGTGCATCCTGCCGCCCCGTGTCCCGGCAGCCGGCCGGCCGCAGCCCCTGCGGCAGAGCGGGGACCTGTGTGTGTGTCCCCCCCCCCCCCCCCCCGCTGCAGCGCCCGCCCGGGGCAGAGCGGGGACCTGTGTGCCCCCCCGCTGCTGCAGGGCCCGGGGCAGAGCGGGGACCTGTGTGCCCACCCACCTGCTGCAGCCCCTGGGGCAGAGTGGGGACCTGTGTGCCCCCCCCCTGCTGCAGCGCCCGGGGCAGAGCGGGGACCTGTGTGCCCCCCCACCTGCTGCAGGGCCCGGGGCAGAGCGGGGACCTGTGTGTCCCCCCCCCCCCCCCCCGCTGCAGCGCCCGCCCGGGGCAGAGCGGGGACCTGTGTGCCCCCCCACCTGCTGCAGGGCCCGGGGCAGAGCGGGGACCTGTGTGCCCCCCCACCTGCTGCAGCGCCCGGGGCAGAGCGGGGACCTGTGTGTCCCCCCCCCCCCCCGCTGCAGCGCCCGCCCGGGGCAGAGCGGGACCTGTGTGCCCCCCCACCTGCTGCAGCCCCTGGGGCAGAGCGGGGACCTGTGTGCCCCCCCCGCTGCTGCAGGGCCCGGGGCAGAGTGGGACCTGTGTGCCCCCCCCCTGCTGCAGCGCCCGGGGCAGAGTGGGACCTGTGTGCCCCCCCCCTGCTGCAGCGCCCGGGGCAGAGCGGGGACCTGTGTGCCCCCCCCCTGCTGCAGCCCCCGGGGCAGAGCGGGGACCTGTGTGCCCACCCACCTGCTGCAGCGCCCGGGGCAGAGCGGGGACCTGTGTGCCCCCCCCCTGCTGCAGCCCCCGGGGCAGAGCGGGGACCTGTGTGCCCCCCCCCTGCTGCAGCCCCCGGGGCAGAGCGGGGACCTGTGTGCCCCCCCCCTGCTGCAGCCCCCGGGGCAGAGCGGGACCTGTGTGCCCACCCACCTGCTGCAGCGCCCGGGGCAGGATGCCTCGGTGCCTGTAGTTTTCCGTGGTCCCCGTCATGGTGTACGTCTTGCCGGCTCCCGTCTGCCCGTAGCACATGATGGTGCCTGCAGACGTTTCAAAAATGGGGCGGTGACCTCCGGGGAACAGCTCCGAGGAGCTCTCCCCCAACCTCCACCCCACTCCCACCCCCCCCCCCCATTCCACCCTCTCCCCCCCACCCCATCCCCCCACCCCGCCCCCACAGGCCTAGGACCAGCCAGCACCGGCTGGGGTGGCCATCGGAGCCTCCGCAGAGACCAGGATTTCCTGCCGTGGAGGGTGGGCGGGCAGGGAAATGGGGACATAAATGCTCTGAGCCCGAGGCCCAGAGTGCTCTGCCGGCCCCTCTCCCCAGAGACCTGGCCAGGGCTTCTGTGGAGCGGGCGGGCGTGGGACACAGGGTGTGGGGAGGGAGGGAGGGGGTCTGAGGGAGCAGAGTGACTGTGGGCTTTTCTGGAAAGAAGGGGAGGAGCCGAGAAGGACTGAGCTCTGACCCTTCTCTCTTTTTGGTTAATCTCACCCGATTTTTCTACGGGTTAGTTAGGCATGTATTTTTTACTGGAGGCCCGGGGCGCGGAATTTGTGCGAGGGGCGCGGCCCCCGCAGCCACGGTGGTGGGCCTCGGCCCTCGCAGCCCCGGCTTCGTCCGGAAGGCCCTTCAGTCGTCCGGGCTAATTAGCATATTATGCTTTTATTTTTATAGATTTTAAAATATATTTTTATTGTTTCAGGGAGCAAGGGAGGAAGAGATAGAAACATAAATGATGAGAGAGAATCATGGATTGGCTGCCTCCTGCATGCCCCCTACTGGGGATCAAGCCTGCAACCCAGGCACGTGCCCTTGACCAGAATCGAACCTGGGACCCTCCAGTCCGCAGGCTGATGATGTATCCACTGAGCCAGACCAGCCAGGGCAGAACCCAGCCCTCGGTTAGCAAGGGGCTCGGGGCGAGGCCTCCCGGGGGGTTGGCCAGGCAGGAGGCAAGGGCGTTTGGAGTCCCGGGAAGAGATGGGGTGGAAGAGGCATTTCCCCTCAGTGGTGAGAATTCTTTGTAGATGGCAGATTCCCACCCAAGCAAGAGGGGCCGCAAGGAGGTCCATCCCCTTCTTCCCTTCGGGAAACAGACTGCCCTGGCCAGGTCCTCACCGGAGCCCTGCCCTCGGGGACGCTCAGTGCACTCACACCCTTTAGGTCCCCGTCACTGCCAGGCTCCGGGGCACGGGCCCCGAAGTCCCCCCCACGGGCCCAGGTTCCCTGCCCTGCCTCCGGGCGGCCTGTCCAGACCCCGTCCCCTCCCCACGGCTGCTTCGGGCGCTCACGGCAGACCCACCGGCGACGCCGCTGTGCCCTGGAAACAGCCTGCCTTTGCAAACGGATGCTCCCTTTCTGGGACTGGAAGATTTTTAAAAATATATATATTTTGTTGATTTTTTACAGAGAGGAAGAGAGAGGGATAAGAAAGTTAGAAACATCGGCCGAAGCCGGTTTGGCTCAGTGGATAGAGCGTCGGCCTGCGGACTGAAAGGTTCCAGGTTCGATTCTGGTCTGAGGCATGTACTTTGGTTGCGGGCACATCTCCAGTGGGGGGTGTGCAGGGGGCAGCTGATTGGTGATTCTCTCTCATCGATGTTTCTGACTCTCTATCCCTCTTTCTTCCTCTCTGTGAAAAATCAATAAAATATATATTAAAAAAAAAAAAAAGTTAGAAACATCGATGCCTCCTGCCTCCTGCACATTCCCCACTGGGGATGTGCCTGCAACCAAGATACATGTCCTTGACCGGGATCGAACCCGGGACCCTTCAGTCCACAGGCCAACGCTCTACCACTGAGCCACACCGGTTTCGGCGGATTGGCAGATTTTTTTTTTTAAATATATTTTATTGATTTTGTACAGAGAGGAAGGGAGAGAGATAGAGAGCTAGAAACATCGATGAGAGAGAGAGTCATCGATCAGCTGCCTCTTGCACACCCCCTACTGGGGATATGCCCGCAACCCAGGTACATGCCCTTGACCGGAATCGAACCCGGGACCTCTTAGCCCCCAAGCCGACGCTCTATCCACTGAGCCACACCGGTTCCGGCGGATTGGCAGATTTTTACCGGCTGCTAAATTCGGCACCTGGGCCTTACTTCCCGTCTCCGCCTCCTGGCACAGCCCGCAGGCTCAGAGCGGACCACACTTCTGTGGCCACGGGGGTGTGCACAGCATCTGAGCATCTCCGCTCAGGGGCCTTCTTTCTTTCTTTATTTTAAAAATATATTTTTATTGATTTTTACAGAGAGGAAGGGAGAGAGATAGTCAGAAACATCAATGAGAGAGAAACACGGATCAGCTGCCTCCTACACCCCCTCCCCCCCACTGGGGATGTGCCCACAACCAAGGTACATGCCCCTGACTGGAATCGAACCCAGGACCCTTCAGTCCGAAGGCCGACGCTCTATCCACTGAGCCACACTGGTCAGGGCTCAAGGGCCTTCTTTAAAGTTTTCATCTTTATGTATTGATTTTGGAGAGGAGGGGAGGGAGGGAGAAATGTCAGTTTGTGGTGCCATGCGTCAGCACATCCGCTGGCTGCTCCTGGGAGGTGCCCTGCCCGGGGAGGGGGTGCCGCTCTAACCACTGAGCAGCTCAGCCGGGGCCCTCAAAGCTGCATACAGGGAACGTGCTAGTCAGCAGCCACCAGGTGGTCCGAGTCTACCGACTGTGATACGGTCTGAGGGTTTTTAAATCTCTCAAAGGGGAGCGGAAAAAAAAATTTTTTTGAAAACAATCTTACACCAAACAAGTGTAAACATTTCCTGACCCAGCTGCTCTTAATTTGTTAAGAAATCAAACGTTCTGAAACCGGTGTGGCTCAGTGGATAGAGCGTCGGCCTGCAGACTGAAAAGTCCCAGGTTCGATTCCGGGCAGGAGCGTCTACCTTGGTTGCCGGCACATCCCCGGTAGGGGCTGTGCAAAAGGCAGCCGATCCATGATTCTCCCTCATTGACGTTTCTAGCTCTCTATCCCTCTCCCTTCCTCTCTGTAAAAGATCAATAAAATACATTTTTTTTAAAAATCAAACGTGACTCCTGTTTTTAGCGCTGTATCTGCACACGATCCAACACGAGAACATAAACCGTGGATGCTGCTGACCCTGGTGGACGGAAAGAACGCCCAAAAGCAGGGAGCTCAGAGCACAACATTCGAGCTCCATCAGGTCCATCCTCGGGGCACTGCCTTCAAAACTGAGCGGGCGAGTCGCTGTGACCACAGGAGCCCGCGTCACTCCTGTGAGGCCACCCTCGGCAAGAACGTGGAGGCCGGCCGCTGAGCACGAGCGGTTAGGGAGGGAGGCTCTGTTTTATTCACGGGGGCGGGGGAAGGAGGGGTGCGGAGGGGGGAGGAGTGCGGCCCCTCCCCAGTCACACGCCCGCCAGCCCCGTACCGTTGTAGCCGTCCAGGGCCTGGGCCACCACGGCCTTGGCCACCGTCTCGTAGACCAGCTCCTGGGAGGCGTCATGGAGCACGCCGTCCAGCTTGAAGGACCAGTCCGTCTGCTGGTTGTTGACAACTCCCCTGCGAGTGTCTTTTTTCAAGTGGATGTCGATGGTCTAGGTGGGAAAAGAGAGGCGATGGGGAGGGAGGGCGAGGGGGACGGCGAGATGAAGGCACAGTTGTTAGGAGACTGCTGTAAACGGGTGCAAAAACACCGCTGGTGGCTGCGGCCTGAAGTGGAGAAAAAGAGGGAGTGGCCCTCGGGGAGCGCGGACTCCACGCTGGTCGGTCTCGGGGAGAAGGAGGAAGTGCGGCCGCGCCCACACAGCCCGGGCTAGACCCATCAGCACCTCCCTCCCCGGCCCATGGCCTCGGGTCGGGGCCAAGCACCTTTCCCATGTTCTTACTGAAGTGCTTTAGGGCAGGGGGTTTATTATTACTTTAAAAAATATTTCTTATCAATTTCAGAGAGGAAGGGAGAGGGGGAAGAAACATCCACGATGAGAGAGAATCATGGACCGGCTGCCTCCTGCACGCCCCCTACTGGGGACCGAGCCAGAAACCCAGGCATGTGCCCTTGACCAAAATCGAACCCGGGACCCTTCTGTTGGCAGGCCGACGCTCTGTCCACTGAGCCCAACCAGCCAGGGCTAAAGGGAAACTTATTAACCAGAAAGAGGACGGAGAACGGAGGGGGGGGGGGCCGGAGTGCCCTCCCCAACGGCACTGCCGGAGGGAGCCCGGAGCCCGGGCCTTTGGCACGTCCCGTCTGGGCCCTTAAAGGACCAGGACCTGCTCCCGCCCCCGCGAGGGAGGCGCACGGAGAGGCCGCGGCGGCGAGGGCCAGGCCGCACTCACTTTGTTGTCGCTGCCGAACCGGATCATGTCATGGGCGAAGTCGTCGGTGGGCCTGACGCGGACAAAGGCGTGCACCTTCTTCCTCGTGCTCATCCTGGCTGCAGGGGAAGACGCGGCGGGTCAGCCGCCGGCCACCTCCCGGCCACAGCGAGAGGAGGGGGTGCCTCCACCGGGGGAGCCACCTCCCCTCTCCCCAGAGCACTGCCGCGCGGCGCCCACAGGGCCTGCCCGCCACGCCGGTCCATGGGCTGCCCGATGGCCGCACCGAGTCCACCGTCCACCCCACCCGAGAGGCTGAAGGAACAGGCTGAGGCTCCCTCCAGCCGAGCCCTCCCGCCCGGAGTCTTAGGCGTGGCTTCCAGCAATGCTCCGTCTGAGTCCGGATGCTTTGCCTTGTTGCCTGTATTTTCCTTGGAAGTACTTACCATGAAAAGCACTAAAACTAATTTTATCTTTTTAAAAAAAAATATTTTATTGATTTTTCACAGAGAGGAAGGGAGAGAGATAGAGAGTCAGAAACATCAATGAGAGAGAGTCATCGATCAGCTGCCTCTTGCACACCCCCTACTGGGGATATGCCCGCAACCAAGGTACATGCCCTTGACCGGAATCAAACCCGGGACCCTTCAGTCCCCAAGCCGACGCTCTATCCATTGAGCCAAACCGGTCCCGGCACTAATTTTATCTTTTAAAAAATATATTTTATTGATTTTTTACAGAGAGGAAGGGTGAAGGGTAGAGTTAGAAACTCCTGCACAATTCCTACTGGGGACGTGCCCACAACCACGGGACGTGCCCTTGACCAGAACTGAACCTGGAACCTTTCAGACGAGACCGGGCGCGTCCAGGGTGGCATGGCCGTCGACGAACCTGGGACCTTTCCATCTGCAGGCCGACGCTCTATCCACTGAGCCTGAGCCAGACCGGTTTCGGCAATTATTGCATTTTTTAAAAGCGCACTAAATAAAGGATGGTAACATTTCACAGGTATTGTCTAAGAGCGGTTCAGGGAGTGTCACTGGCGAAAAACGACTCCATGTTTAAGACATGAGTGTTCCTCCACACTTCCAGACACAAGCCGTGGTGGCCACTTGCCCTCCTCTCATAACCATGTTCACTCCCAGGCGGCATGAGTACGCATAGAAGCAAGTCAAACAGGGGGCCCTCCCCTTTCTGTTTCGTGTCAAAGCCGTGGGCACAAAACTCCAACCCCAGTCACAACCTGTCGGACGTCAGATCGAGTCAGCAAACAGGTGACTTTTCCTTTGCCTGTTGGAGAGGGTGCCACCTCCTACATGCCTCACGGATGGCGGCAGGAGTCTTTCCTGCCGGGCATCGTTCAGACCTTTTTTTTTTTTTTTTTTTTTTAAATATATTTTATTGATTTTGTACAGAGAGGAAGGGAGAGAGATAGTTAGAAACATCGATGAGAGAGAGTCATCAATCAGCTGCCTCCTGCACACCCCCTACTGGGGATATATGCCCGCAACCAAGGTACATGCCCTCGAACCCGGGACCTCTTAGTCCCCAAGCCGACGCTCTATCCATTGAGCCAAACCGGTCTCGGCCGTTCAGACCTTTTAATTTTTAGAAAAGGAACGTGAAAGGCCTTCAGGTGAGCCAAGGTCACGGCTTGTCCAATGTCAGTCCTGAAATCCTTGTCGGCAAACTGATATTTAAATTTTTATTTTATTTTATTGATTTCAGACAGGGAGAGAGAGAGAGAGGGAGAGGGAGGGAGAGAGGGAGAGAGAGAGAAATATCAATGAGCAGAGAGAATCATGGACCAGCTGCCTCCTGCACACCCCTTACTAGAGATGGAGCTCATGTGCGTGTGTCCTGACTGAGGACAGAACCATAACCTGCCGGGACCGGTGTGGCTCAGTGGATAGAGCGTCGGCTTGGGGACTGAAGGGCCCCGGGTTCGATTCCGGTCAAGGGCATGTACCTTGGTTGCGGGCATATCCCCAGTGGGGGGTGTGCAGGAGGAAGCTGATCGATGACTCTCTCTCATCGATGTTTCTGACTCTCTATCTCTCTTCCTTTCTCTCTGTATAAGATCAATAAAATATTTTATTGATAAAATATATTAAAAAAAGAACCATAACCTCCTGGATCATAGGTCGACGCTCAACCGCTGAGCTATGCCAGCCAGAGGGGATTCACTTTTTTAAAAAATATATATTTTATTGATCTTTTACAGAGAGGAAGGGAGCGGGATAGAGAGTTAGAAACATTGGTGATGAGAGAGAAACATCGATCAGCTGACTCCGGCACACCCCCTACTGGGGATGTGCCCTATGACCGGAATCGAACCTGGGACCCCCCAGTCCGCAGGCCGATGCTCTACCCACTGAGCCACGCCGACTGATCTTGAGAAACAAGAAGCCACACGTAGCTCTAACACGAGCTCCAAGCTGAAGAGACCGAAGAGAACCTCTCACCTCTAAGGTCACCTTCGTCGAGATGACTGGGAAGTTGAGCGTGGAGGCAGGTGTGTTTGGACTCCAGCAAACACCCTCAATCAAGCGCTGGGAGCCATTCCCCACACCAGCCAAAGGGCCCATCCTCCTCCTGGGAGGTTCCCATTGGGGCAGCCTCTGGGGGGAATGGTGCCCACAGGTCCCTCTTGGCAGCCCCCACCACAGACCGCACAAAGCCACGCCCACGCCTCGCCCTCCCCTCGGAGCCGGCCCCTGCTCTGCCATGCAGTTGGCCAACATGCACATGCAGTCACCCTGCTGTGCCTCCCAAGGCCCTCCCCATGCTCACACCCTCGGCCCTGGCATGCCAGGAGCCAGACCCGTCACCAGAGGCAAGCCCTCTCTGCTTCTCTCTCCACGGCACCCTCCTCAGCAGACCTCTGGGGACCCCGTGCACCCTGCACTTACTGAGACGATGCCTGTGACCGCTCTGACGCCACATCATGTGAGCGGGTTTCAGCTCCCAGATTACACGACCGGCTGCTGGGGGACAGGACTCTGCCTTCTATCTGAATTCCCCCCTCAGAGTCCACAACGGTACCCACACGGGGCAGGTGCGTGGTGGGGACGGTCATGGTTGGAAGTCAGAGGGGCGCTCAATCTCCACGTGAGGGTCCATCTTCGGTCACTACTGAGAGAGCCCCCGGGCATCAATTGTCAGGGCCCTCCACAGTCACCCCGAGGCCCACAGCCCCTCTAGGGGGCGCTCACTTTCCCGGCACCACGTTCAGGAAGCTATGTGCCAGCCCCTTCAGCACCCTCCTCCTGAGGTCCTCTGAGGAATGCTGCCATGAGCTATTTCTGAGTGGCCACCAGGAAGCCCCCCTGCTGTGGAGGCTCCCGGTGTCTTTGTTTTTGGGGTGGAAGAAACAGAAGTGCCACCGAGCACGTGACGGCTCAATGAAAGCAGAGGGGGCGGACGCTGGGCAGACAGGCACCAGGGGAGTTCCTATCTCACCGCGCACCTGCCAGACCAGGGCCCTCAGGGAAGCCTCACAGCCAGAGCTGGGCGGCATCGAACCAGCCCAATGCAGGGTCCACACGCGCCCGGCCTTGGGCTAAACAAAATACTCGGATCCACGCAGAAGCTGGCCCCTCTCCTTTTCTCACCCAACTTGTCGGACCCCTATGTGGAGTCTGGGAGACAAGTGGGCCTTAGGACCATCCCTGTCCTTCTCGGGAGCAGTTTTCTCATCTGTAAAGCAAAGGGCTCGGACTGGCGAGCCTCAAGCCCCTCCCGGTTAGAAAACAGTTAAGAGCAGAAGAGCCTGGGAAACCTCTGCACCCTAGCTTTGAGCCCTCGGAACGGCGGACGCCACATAGGACCCTCGTGGGGGGACAGGGATCGTTAGATCCGAAGACTCTAAGCCTCGGCCAGCCTGAAGGGCTCCCCGCGATGCCGCCCTGGGGTTCACCGGTCGGGGGGCCATGCTGGGGAACTCCCGGGTGGAGCGATGTTCGGATCCTAGCCGCTGCCCGCCGCCCCGGCGTGCACCCCCTCCTCTCAGACCTCCCTTCACCCCCTCCCGGCGGCGCGTGGAGCCTGCTTACCGCTCCGGAGGCAGCAGCCCTGCCGCAGCACCACCAATGCAACTGCTGCGAAGGAAAACCCGCGCGCAGCTGTCAGGTTGTGTACACGGTCGCCATAGCAACGGGGCCGCTTCCGGAGGTCCCGGAAGTCCTGAGGTAGTGGCGGAAGTGAAGCCTATGGTCCTCGGTGGAGATACGAGTAAGGTCAGGGCAGGGTCAGGAAAACAGGACACGGGACCGTCGATTCTCGGAAGAATGCGGCAGCTGCAGGTGCGAGACCAGGGTCGAGGTAGCCAGGGAACGAAAGTTGCGCAGGAACCAGGAAGCGGGGCTGCAGGGCTTCCGGCGCGGGACCGGCTCCGACTACGGCGGCCGCGCAGGCCCCTCTGCCCGCAGCCCTGCGCTCCAGCCGACGTCGGCGCGCGCCCGCGCCCGCGCCCCGCCCCGCGGAGCTCGGAGCCGGCCGGCCGGCCGGGCCTGCGCAGTCGCGGCGGCGGGCGAAGATGGTGGAGGACGGCGCGGAGGAGCTGGACGACCTGGTGCACTTCTCCGTGTCCGAGTTGCCCAGTCGCGGCTACGGCGTCATGGAGGAGATCCGCCGGCAGGGCAAGCTGTGCGACGTGACGCTCAAGGTACCGGGCGGCGGCGCGGGGCGAGGGCGCCGGCGCGGCCCGGGGGACAGAGGGGCGGGGCCCAGGGCGGCGAGGTCCGGGAGCCGGGGGGTGGGACCCGGGGCCGAGGTGGGACTCGGGGCCGGGGAGCCGGGGAGCCGGGAACCGGGGGGTGGGACCCGGGGCCGGGGAGCCGGGGGGTGGGACCCGGGGCCGGGGAGCCGGGGAGCCGGGGGGTGGGACCCGGGGCCGAGGTGGGACCCGGGGCCGGGGAGCCGGGGGGTGGGACCCGGGGTCCGGGAGCCGGGGAGCCGGGGGGGGGGGGGGGGGTGGGACCCGGGGCCGAGGTGGGACCCGGGGTCCGGGAGCCGGGGAGCCGGGGGGTGGGACCCGGGGTCCGGGAGCCGGGGGGCGGGGACTTCGCCGTCGCGGGCATCGCTCGCCGTGGTCGTTCCATTGCCGTCTCGGCTCCTGAGAACTTCCCGCAGCGGATGTGGCCCCGGCCCGGTGGCTCAGTGGTTAGAGCGCCGAGGGGTCCGGGTTGGATCCCGGTCCAGGGCACACGCCCGGGTTGTGGGCTTGATCCCCAGTAGTTGGGGGCGGGGGCGTGCAGGAGGCGGCGGATCACAGATTCTCCAAGTTGATGTTTCTGTCGCTCTCCCTCTCTCCTCTCTGAAATCAATGAAGCTATATTTTGTAAAAATAAGTGGGATTGTTTAAAAAGTAATAATGGAGCCATAGCCAGTTTGGCCCAGTGGATAGAGGGTCGCGGGTTCAATTCAGGTCAAGGGCACATGTCCGGGTTGGGTTTCCAGCTCCATCCCCAGAGCAGGGCGTGCAGGGGGCAGCTAGTCAGTGATTCTCATCATTGATGTTTCTCTCTCTCCCTCTCTCTTCCTCTCTGAAATAATAAATACATTTTTTAAAAAATAAAAAATAATAATGGAAATCGGATATGGGAATCTTTTGACGTAGAAAGCTCCTCGGCCCCACACTGCGAGAGCCCCTGCCCCTACCACCGCCCAGACCACCGCAAAGGTCAGGGACAGGGCGGGGGCTGCCCGCTGGCTGAGCTGCCCGCAGGGCCCGCCCTCCCGGTGGGCAGCAGGTCCGGTCCCTGCTGGGCTCTGGCTGGAAAGCCCTCCGTCTGTGGAGGACACATTTGCAAACAAGGTAAGACCACACGTAGCTCTTTTTTCCCTCTCACTGTTTTCCACGGGCTTCAGGGAACTTCTCCTAATGCTGGAGTCAGGTCTCCGGAGGCAGCGAGTGGCCGAGTGTGGCTCGGGTGTTGTAAGGATTAGGGTGACAATCCTAGTTGTGTCCTAGTTGGGCAGGTGACTTTGCCCAGCGCAGTGTTCCAGGGCCGCCAGCGGAGATGATCCTGATGCTCAGCATTAGCACGAGGATTACAGGAGCGCGCCTGTGGTGCTCTTTGCCCAATGCCTGGCGTGCGTTTCTTATCGCTGTAAACGTTAGAGAACAGAAATGCTTGGGCCTGCCCGCGCCAGGAGGCCCAAACACCAAACGCCAAGTACGGCCCTGGCCGGTTTGGCTCAATGGACAGAGCTTCGGCCTGTGGACCAAAGGGTCCTGGGTTCGATTCCGGTCAAGGGCATGTATCTCAGTGCAGGGGTTGGCGTTTTATGCCCACGTCTTTGACACGAAATCAATGAAAATACATTGAAAAAAGAAAAGGCTGATATGTCCAGGGTTGGAGTCTCAGTTTAAACATTAAGGAAAATCGAGGTAAGCGCTCAGTAAGTATAGATATTGGAGGGTGACAACTTATGGGGCTTCTAGAAGTGGATATAAATGTGTGTGTTCAGCCTGCCATTTGGAATTTGTTTCAGCTTCTAACGAATTCTGGATGATTTTATATAAACACTGAAGGCCCAGTGGGAGAAATTCCTGCCCAGCCTGCACCCTCTCCAATCCGGGATCCCTCTCCAATCTGGGACTGCTGGCTCCTAATTGCTCACCTGCTTGCCTGCCCGGTCACCCCTAACTGCCCCCCGCTGCCGGCCAGGTCGCCCCCAACTCCCCCCACCCCTGTTGGCCTTGTTGCCCCTCCCCTCCCTTCCCTGGCAGCCTGCTTGTTCAGTTGTTTGGTCGTCCCTCACCAACACCCCTGCTGGCCTGGTCACAGGCAGCCATCTTGTGAGGGTGTGAGGGTTAATTTGTATGTTACATCATTATTATATAGGAGGATAATGTTCATTGCCTTCAAAGAGTTTGCAAACCACTGTTGTATTTAATTGCCCAAGCCCAGAAGGAAAAGGGACTTTCCAGGGTCACAGCTGAAAGCAGGGGGAGCTAGGACTAGAGACAGGCTGCTGGGCTCCGAGCTCCAGGCCAAGTGCTCTGTCGTGACCTCCATCCCTCTTCTTCACTGACAGTGACTGAGCTGGTTGCAGCTGCGATCCTGTGAGTTGATCTGCCTCAGGTCAGCTGTAACCATTCCTAACGTAACCTTCCTGTCTTTCTGCCTTTTAAGGAGAGAAAGCATTAGCAGCATGCCGCATTCTCAAACCTCACTGTCAGCTCTTGACCTTCCTTAATTTTCTAGGGAAATATTTGAAATTTAAATTCCTTAGGTCTTGCTGGATAATTAAATAGAGGCATAATGAAAAAGGATAATATGTTGGATTTTTAAAATCACATTCTCTATGTAGGGCCCTCTTTGAAAATGAACGTGTTGAGCCTTCTCTCCAGAAAAATGTACATACTTACATATGTGCAAAATTTTGTATTTGTTCTTTTTTAAAATATATTTTTATTTCAGAGAGGAAGGGAGAGGAAGAGAAAGGAAGAGAGATATAGAAACATCAATGGACAGAGAATCATTGATCGGCTGCCTCCTGCACACCTCCCCCTGCATTCTTTCCTGAGAGCAGCTTCCCTGATGCCATCTTGGGTCATGAATCCAGCTGAGTTGATTCTATTAAAAAAAAAAAAAAAAAAAGTCGTTTTAGCCATAACCAGTTTGGCTCATGTTACCCTGAAGGTCAGGAGGACAGGAGTGCAGGCCTTCTTGGCAACCTGTAGCTCATCACTTGGTCTGGGGGAAAGGCTTGCATTCACGGAGGCTCTTGCCCTTTCCTCCCACCTGTAGGGCTCGTCCCCTTCCCTCTGGGCCACCTGCACCCATTGCTCAGGTCACATCTGTGGGGTTCACCTGGGTCCAGCGAACTGGGCAGACTCCCCAGGTTCAAGGAGTGTCCTCACAACTTCCTGTTCGTGAGATCCAGACCCTCCGCATTCACTCCTTCTGTCCTCCCCTCCCCTCACTCCTTTTTCTATTTGTGAGAACAGAATGGGGTCACCAAACCAGCATACTATTTGCTGACCCATACCTTTAGGACAGAGGATCTACCCACACACACCCACTTTGTTTTTGCAATCACTGATAAATGGCTCCTCCAAGATCTGCTGGTATCCGCCTTCCCAGCACTTCCCAGGGCCCCTGCTGAGGCTTTGAACCCAGATCTGAGAATTTAGCCTCCAGAAGGAAATGCCGTTTTTCGTGGGTGAAAGGCACAGGGTGAGAACACTTCCCTTTGCCTGTCCACCAGGCCCAGGCGGACAGTCTTCGCCGAGCCTGGCTTCCAGAGCCACACATTTGCTTCTGGAGTGTTGCCTAATTGTCCCATTGGTTGTGACGAGAGAGTAGGTGGAGAAGGATGTCAGGAAGTGAGGTGAGGACTTGTTGATGCGTGCCATTTCTGTGTGATGAGTAAGGTGGTGAGCGCACAGGTATAATTACAGAGCTAGGACAGTCATGGTAAAAGGAGCCACGGAGGTCCAGGATCAAAGCCGTTGCTTCTGCAGATGACACACCTGGAGGCTTAGGGCTGTTGAGGGATCGCCCTCGGCCAGCGCTGTGTGGCCTGTGCTCCAGCCCAGCTGTTTGTGAGCGGAAGCGATGCTCACCTGCCTGCGGGAGGCAGGACCCGATCGGAGCTCACCTCTGCCGGTCTCTGGGCGTGGAGGGCCGTGGTGTTTTCCAGGTGCAGCACCACTCGTGTCGTGGAGGGAGGAAGGTGGAGGCTTTTCTGCTAGTCTTCTGGACAAATCCAGTCCTTGATTCTTTTGATTTTGAAATGACTTTGTATTGGAAAACTTGTGCTTCTGACTATAGCTCACTCCCAGGGTTTTGGAAAAATCAGTTACGAGCCAGGCAAGCTAACCGGGGTCCGCCCTGAGCCTCCCGGAGCATGGCGTGGGGAACCCCTGGTGAGGTAAGAAGCCTGGGTCTGGAAGGGCTTCTCTCTGCAGGTGGCTTCTTACTGTTCTAGAAGGCTGGGTTATGGGAGGTGAGACCACGATGCTTTTCTACGGGTGTGCTCCACGCCCTCCCTCTCCCCCCAAACTATAAGCATCTATTTCCTGCTTTGGATTTGGGGGTGTGGCCACTCCGGTGCTTCCTGGGGGTGGTACCAGCCAGCTTCCCCCACAGTTGCTTAGTAAAGGCCTTCGACTCCCACAGCTGATCACACCACCACTTGTTTCCAGCGGGAACAATGAGCCAATCAATGACCGGGAGTTGGCAGGCGTTTCCTGTGAAGAGCCAGATAGTAAATATTTTAGGATTTGTGGGTCTTTCAGTTTCAGTTGCAATTACTCAGCTCTGGGGGTGAGCACCGAATCGGCGGTACGCACCCGAGCGGGTATGTGTCTAGTAAAAGTCACTTACACAGCAGCCATGGGCCAGCCTGCTGTGGTCGCTGGTCCCTGTGTGCACCGATGCATGGCCTTGGTGGAGCTTAAGGCTTTCAAAGCAGGTTACACTTGCCTAGTTGTCCCAGCGGAGACTTCTTTGGTTTCAAGTCTCTATAAATTGGGAGATCTCGTTTAAAGCAAACAGCTAATGCAGGAGTGAAGAGCTGTCTTTCCCCCGCTCACTGCAGGGGAACGGGCTGTCCCGGTTGGTGACTGAGTAACTCTCATAGGAGAAGTCACTGTTAAAATTTGCCTCTGAGCTTGAGTCTGTGGCTCTGCTGGAGCCGGGAGCATTGACT